ATCCAAATCCACGTAACCCTCCATTTCCAGCCCCAGGCACTAAACCAAGATCTACAAAGAGTCAAAGAGCCCCACCTCCACCTCTGACCCTTTGACACATCACAACAGACAATCCTGTTCGTGACGCCAAAACTGTCGTGGCAAGAATGGTCAGAAACACGGCGAAAGTGTGTTAGGAAGGAAATAGTCTTGCCGGGTATGATTATAAAGTCATTTATTGATGGGCAGACATGAAACAGAGAACAATCACTAAGTCTGTAAGATGTGGGCCCCCGACTGAGGGCGGAAGAGAACTGTTATACCTTCAGCTATCATCATGTGATAATGAACAACCAATCAGAATCTGCCTCGTTCTGGTACATGAAGTAGGTCAGCTTGAAGATGACGTTCAGACGATATCATAAGATATGAACAATTGGACAGTGTCAAGGTGATACATAATAAGTATTCCACAACACTCATGATTTGTTTAATTTATGTAAATAAACGATCGTGTTATGGCAATATTTATTTAACAAAGACAGAAATATGTGGTCCAAGAATGAAGGTACTCCGTGAGATGATCAGCTGAGTTTTATTGCAACAACAGGAAACACAGAGAACAACCTGGCCTGTCTCTGTACCTCTACTTCTGTCACTGTCTCTCCACACTATTCACTGTGTCTCGAGAGGCCTCATATATATATATACAACAAACACCATTATGTCATCTTAGCAAGATTTGATACAAGGTCAACGGAAAACACAAAGATAAACACAAGTGATATCTAAGAATGACTGTTGTTAGCAAATCTTGTTCTGACTTTAATCATTCTGTCTGCAGATGAACAGCATGTCATGAAAACCTAGGTCATTAAAGGATGTCATGAATTACTTGCTTAAACATAAAAGTATTAGTTCCATTACAATCGCATAGTTGTTTATGGACCAAATTGAACTCATCTGAGTGTTCCACTTATTGTGTGTCATTTTCACTTCGCACAGTCAAGATATTAACAAAGAATAAGAAATTCCTTGGTAATTAATTTCCTCATAACCTTGTGTATGAGAGATGTGGGAATGGCTTATTTTACACTAAGCCAGATCCTTACACAGTCTAGATTCGAATTTTTATTTATTTAATTTTTTGCGAATTTTGAAAAGTTTGATAAAAATTCACTCTACAACTGGATGGAAACACGATTAGAGTGTTAGATGGGCATATGATAGTGCATTATATCGATCGCAGACATGTGAGTTGAATTGAATCAAAATCATATCGTGACAGATTGATGATGTCGAGAAATATCGAATCGTCATCCAAACATATCGATGTAATATCGTGTAGTGATAAAGCTGGTGATTTACACGCCTATCAGAGAGGTTTTGAGGAATGAGAGCTACTGGAGGGAAAGCATAGCGCAGAGACTTCAGCCATCTGTGTGCTAGATCATCCTGGTCTTGCAGGGAGAAACAAAGTGCAGCCACTGCTGCCTCTGTACATTTTACAAACGCTCAGTAAGAATCCAGAAGCAGAACCACAAACTTTTATGCTATCTGCTCGAATGGCGTGATTTGCTTTATTTTACTGTATATAGATTTTTTTTTTTGTTTTATGAATGAAATAAATGAAATAAATAAAATACTTAAATCCATATGTGGAACGTAAGCATCTTTGACTGTGTACAGGCTGCCCAGCGCTCTCTGCAATGAGAGGGCTGAAAGGCCATTGTGGCAACATTGA